TCGTGTCTTGGGCCATCAATGTGTACTTACATTAATGAGTCATTAAGTCATGTTTAATTTGGACTTCTCTGTGCATACTCTTTGAGGTGGTGACCATAGACTTGCATTATATGACTGACAGACAAGAACGGTTTGACCTAAAAATATCAAAATTGAAACTACTGTGGAAACAAAGACACCTACATCTTGGATGCCCTTATGCTAAACCATACCAAAAGTTAATTTCAAAGTGAACTATCCCTTTAAACAGGAAAAAAAAAAAAACGAATAAAAAAAAAGAATACAATAGACTATAATATAGATATCCTTCTCATCAGGAACATGCCTATGCCCAAAAAGTAGAAAGCTCAATAAGTAGGTCTTGGGACAGAGCTAATATGTTGCCTGAATAACTCTAGAGTCACATTCAGACTAAATATTCATAGCAATAGTCCTTGAAAAAGATACGCACACCCACGAATCTTTCATTCCCAGCGCTGCGTTTGTATAAACTAACCAACTCAGACCATCGAGTAAGGTCGGGTTGCCCGGGACAGTTGCCGTGGAAAAGGTGAAGCACTGCTGCTTAGGCCAGAAAACACCGGGAAGCCGTCCAGAACTCAAGGACGAAGGCTTCGCCATTTGGAGCAAAAGGAGCTGACCCAACAGAGAGCTCTGGGAGGGCCCTGTTTTGCTAAAGAGGACATTTGTAGATTCAGGGAAGCTGTTGTTCATTTTAATACGCCGAAACAATGCTGCCAAAGCCCACTGGCTTTTTACAGTATCTCTGCTTCTGGAAAAACGCCAAAATATGGTCACAATGATTAGGCAGGGGTTTCACAGTGCCTCTTCATAGAACGAATTGCTCATTAACACATCTGCAATGACAGATAGAAAGATCATCAAACTATTTTTTTTTTGATCTTGCGCATTTTTGATCTGACCAAAAAATGATCACAGTGGACTTGAAGTGAGTTAGTAACATTTGAAACTTACATCATTACCAGAAGTATCAAAGGGATTCACAGCAATACTGAAAAGAAACTAGTAAAAAAAAAACTATGGTGAATGAATACAAATCTCATTTACTCAGTCGCTCTCGTGTCGTATCAATTCTGCAAGACATTTTTTCTTTCTTTTTAGACGGATTTTTTCTGCATATAGTGACCTTAGGCTGTCAAGCTCCTCATTTGTGCTAAATTACGACTGAAATGTACAACATCAATTTACAAAAGACGTGAAAAATCATATTTCCAAATATTGATTGTGCAAAGCATTCATTTCAAAACGGAACAAGACCCCGTGTCCTTCATCTGTTTTTTTCAGCCCATTCAAACAGATCTATCGCTGTGAGTGTAGAAGCCAGTCCAGTCGTCAATCACACATAATGTCGGCGCAAAGTTCACATTCAGTCTTTTTCAACACCTCTTCTCTTCTGTGTATCTGTGTGTATGAGAAAAGCCTCTGACCATGGTCACAGTAGGTCACAGGTTATCACCGTTCGATAAAAATTGCTTTCTGACAGCCATAGCTTTATGTCTCTGATCTCGCTCTTTGACACTTCCAATTTTCCGAGATAGAATCACCGTCCTTCTTGCTGTAAATATGGGCAGCCTGACTGCTCACAACAAGGGGCTTCAGTAATGGCCAACTGCCTGGACTTCCTGTGGTTCTGCCTTGTCAACAAAAAGCTGCCAGGGACTCATCTAACTCAAGAAGGAGAGTAACTGCACGATTAAAGAGAGAGATATAGGGCCCTACCACACAACCGGTGCAATGCAGCGCCAGGCACGACGCAAGTCTTTTTTTTACTAGTTTCAGCCTGACGCAATTATCATTTTCACGTTATTTAAAGGGGTGATGAACTGAGAAATCTAATTTTCCTTGCGCTTTTGACATCTAAGAGGTCATCATATTATAAGAATATCCTGTAAGCTTCAGAAATGAAAATGTCCTTGTTAGTCCAATAAAAGCTTTTATTGACACCAGCTTGGTGTCAAAGTGGGGAACTATGACGTCAGAGAGGATAGAAGATCAACGCCTACTTCAACATGGCCGGTTTAGCCCCGCCCACCGATTCACGCATTACACGCATAGCTAAATAACATAGATGCCTACCTCGTGATGACAAACCGTATCGAGAGTGAAACTCATTGTAATATGCACAACTGTTCTCCACTCACAGCAGTGGGCGTTTACTTCCAAGTCTTCAGTGCGAGACGCCCATAAAAACAAAGCGTTTTTTAGCTAGGCTCAAAACTAGGGTACAAAAGAGCCTATTACTTATTAATTTTGATGTTTTTGAATGCAAAAACCAAGCGAACGTCATAAGTTGACCTCAGACAACAATATAATAAAATTTAAAAAGCCAGTTCAAATAGCAAATGCATTTGCGCCCAGTGTGTTCAGACAAGTTTTTGGCTTGTTGCTATTTTGAGGCAACTGAAATAGACTGTGCTATTGACCAACTGAAACCTGGTCTAAAGTCAATGCCGCAATTTTTTTTGTTATTTAAAGAGAGCGTTAGTAAAGCGCGCCTATAGGTGGGTCCTCTCTGCTTATTACACACACAGCAACACACAAATATGCCAAATATTAAAAATGAAAGGATGTAAAAATGTGAAAGATTATTATTGTGTAGTAGATACGGTGGAATCCGGGTTGTCCCGTAAATGGTCTTGCACTTTAACCTCGCACACGAGCAGATCCGCTTTGAGTAGAAGCATTCAGTCTTTCCAATATCAAATTCCGTCATCTAAATAGTGAATCCGCCATGGCGCGAGTGCAACTGGCTTTTAAAGGGAATCGGAGATGGGACTCTGATTGGTTTATTGCACATAAAGCCCCAAACACACCCATTACTCATTAAGAGAACAAAGACAACGCTTTTAGACCATTTTTCCCGTCGTTAAACTAGCAAAAGTGAATCCACTTCACACTGCTGTGTGCTTAAGACCATGCGCTTATATTGGTAAAATATGGTCCATAGAGTTAGACAGACTATAGTATAAATATTGATATATTCCCATTGCACAAGGATTTAAGATTAAGGAATTTACATCCCAATATTAATGAATCTCAAACTGCAGTTAAATTTTAAAATCATCAGGATTCAGTCAGATTTACTCAAAAAGAAATGTTTAAAGATAAAAATTGTGCATTTCACATGTTTTCTGCTGTGTTTAGCCATGAAAAAAGCATCAGCACTTTACAACTCTACTTGCATCTACAGTATGTATCCGGTATGTTATTCCAGTGCTGTACATCTCTGAAAACCATAATTATATGTATCCTAGCATTATGCAGAATACATAAAACTGTACATTAAATGATATGCTTTCCCTTTTGTGTTCTTAGCAATAGGGAAAACACATGCTTCACAAAAGGTCATTTACACAAATCACCCAATATCACTGTTACACATAGTGGTAAGGGTGCAGGGTTTAGTTCTGCAGTTTTCATTTACGAACAAAAAAATTCAATCACAATTGTCAAAAGGCTGAAAAACACATCAACAGGACAGGAGCAACAAAGGGGGCAAAGGACATGATGGTACTAACAACAAAAAGATCATAAAGCAAAAAAATCCACACAGCGACAATACACAAGTGGAAAAGCACAGCACCTTGTTTACATGTAAGATTAAACCACTAAAATTAAATATTAAATGTTATTGGTACAAAAGCAAAGACAATCACCATAGCACTTCCAAACAAATCGCTCAGCCTCTCAGTCAAACACTTGTAAATTCCATCATTAATTCACGTCGAGAATTATTTCATCTGACCTTGTTTCACAGGACAAACTCTGTGTTATTGCTTCCTTTGCAAAACTAGATGGAAACCAGCTTAATCACATTTTAGAACTGTTAAAATGCAACCCTTGGGCTTGCTCATTACTTACAATGGGAATTTAACTGCCATACAAATTTACCTACAATCTACTGAATCAACAATCCAAGACAAAATGATGTCTGTCCAAGTTAGGCACCCAACGGATCTCAACCTTGTTCTAACATTTCTGGAAATGTGATGGAGATGATACCTTTGCTGAAAGCCATGCATAATTATTCCTACCATGAAGATTGCCTTTGCTTTTGCTGTTCTATGGCTGCTAGAAAAGAAATGTAATATTTATTGTTCGTATAACCCTTTCATTCATGCCAAAAGGCTTTATGTTTATTTTCCCCATGTCTGGACCTGTGCCTTATGATATTTATTGGGGAGAACGTATGACACTGCATAACTTATGGGATGCAATTGCAAGACAAATGTCTAGCACACAAGTAGCCATGTGGCGGATTACATAAGGATTAGCGATGTGTACCTTTAATTATGCCTGAACTGCTGATTTGTCTGACAAAGTGCATGATTAAGGGAAATCTCTTCAACCCTTCAATAATCTGGTCACCGCGACCAAAAACACTGAATCCAAAATGAAAATGAGGCAAATATTTATCTAGGAACCAGATAAATATATTAGCTCTCACATTTCAATGTCTTTTTCGGTCTCTTTTCTTTAAAAAAAGCAGGCCACCACAATTAATTCGCCTCAACAGCCATTTGCCTAGGGTGTTGTATGTTGATAATAATGTAAAAACACACAGAGGACAGGAAAGGAGCAATGCACAGAGACTTGAAACTTTAAAACTACGTGATTTTTTGTATCCAATCAGTGGTGTATTTTAAAAGCAGCACTCAATGTTTTGCTTTAAGCCTGTAGAGAGTAACAATTCCCCAAACCAGTGCTGCTGTTTGATATATAACAAGGTGTTTTTGGCTTGAGGATGTTTTATCTTACTATTCCTGAGGTAAAACAAGTAAATAAATCTTTGATTACAGCCTGAGAACATAGGACTCAAGTTGCCATGCACTGACCCATGTTTCCTACCCATTAGAGGGGAACAGCTAGCAGCGGAAAAGGGGGGAGACAACACATTTTTTTTTTGCCTCACAACGACTGGACATTTACCTCTTGTTCCCCGCAGTGGTAATGGGTTTTAGGAGGGCGACGGATCATACCTCACATTCTCGGGAGCCGGAGATGGTGTAGGTACAGGGTCCTGTCCCATTGACCAGAACGTCCATGGTCTCAGAGTTTGTGGGTTTGTAGTCCACATAATATTCCTGAAGTGGGGAGCTGAGGGTGCGCTCGGTCTCCCGTGCCTTTTTCCGGCGTTTTCTCACCATGGAATGCTGCTGCAGTTGCTTCATGCTGCTGGGATAACGCTTCCAGGAGACGTAGATCACTAGCAAGATCATGGCCACGGATAAAAAGAGGGCAACACTGCCGGCTATTATCTTGTGGAAGGAAACATGCTCAAAGTCCTGCTCAGGGATGGGTGGGGAGGCAGCTGTCGGGGAAGGCGCAACAGGGCTTTTGCGAGTTATCTTCTCATTCACCCTGAACATGGTGGGCAGGGGGAAACGTCCAGGTTTGGATGGGGAGCTTACAGTGGAGGAGATCGGTAGGTAAGTGGTGGGGGTTGCCTTACAGATACCACGTGTGTCAACAGCCTCGATGACTTTCTCACCCTGAACCTCCTTTGGTCCGGCACAAATCATCGTGGTCTCCTTGTTCCCCTTGAAGTTTCTTAGCCAGGCTACAAGGGGGCATAAGCTGGGGCTGCATTCCCAAATGTTTCCTGCCAGACTGATGGTAGTAAGAGAGATCCAAGCTGATATGGCCTCTTGAGACACGTTGCTTAGCTTATTGGAGTCCAGGTTAAGAGTCTGCAAGTTAGGCAGACACTGGAAGATGCTTGAGTCCAACACTTGCAGGTCATTCCCAGAGAGATCCAGCTTTTGCAAAGAGGTCCATGTCCATGTAATTCCCTGGGTTATCGACTTGATCCGATTCCACTGCAGATACAAAGCACGGAGGTTGTTCAGCCTTGGGAAATGAGAAAAATTGATCTTTGAGAATTGGTTGTGCTCCAAGTGTAACTCGGTCAGCTTGAGGAGTCCCGCAAATGCATTACGGGTGAGGCTTCGCAGTCGATTGTAGCCCAAATCAAGGAACTCTAGGTTTCGACAATCCTGAAACACTCGCATGGGGACCGTCTTTAGGGAATTGGATCTGACGTGGAGACTCAAAAGTTTGCGCAAGCCTTGGAATTGATTCGGCTGCAGGACTTGGAGTTTATTGTAAGAGAGGTCCAGATTGCGTAAATTGGGGATCGAATGGAACGTGTTGTTTTCCAAATGCGTGATCTTGTTGGAGCTGAGAATCAACTCCTTGAGTCTTCGAACACCCTGAAAGGCTTGTTTGTCCACTGCATTGATGTAGTTGTGGTCTAGGTACAGCCAGACCAACTGGCCGAGGCTGGAAAACTGACCAGCCCTGAGGTTCACCAAGCTGTTGTAACGCAGAGAGAGGCCCTGGCATCCCACGGAAACATTCTTTGGCACGTCACGGAAGGCATTTGACTCGCAATACACTATTTTGCCATCGCAGCGGCAGCTTCGGGGACACGGCTTCTCTCGGACTCTGCCTTGGGAAGCCAATAGCCAGGCCTGCACGAGCAGGGGGATCATCAGCCAGCGGGATCTCACCAGGGATCCTGCATGAAACACAGAAGGAAAGAAGAAGGGGTAAGCCATGATTCAGTCAATTCTGATCCTAGTCTGCCATTTTGCGTTCAGTCAGAACCTGATAACTTGCTTACAAGGATTAGTAAATACTTAATCAGTCCCGCTACACAGTTTGCAAAAAGTAGGTTATCGAATTACATAGCCAATGTCTACTGAATCAAATTTTGTACGGAGGAGGAAGGTATGAACTTGCTTCAAGTCTTTTCATTTTACATTAAATGTGATTACTGTGCAAATTGTTCTTCTGGTATTCGAAAAGATGTCAATTGATTTTCCATGCTTATTTCACGTACTTTAATTAAAAAAGACAGCAAATATACACCTTTACCTTGAAGCAACCGAAAGAGCTTAATAGGCAAGAGTAACTTTAGTAGAGTAAAAGATTCCCCTTAAGCTTTCTTCAATAACCATAATTACACATTGGCTCCAATAAACACTCTCTGTGGTAGAGAAATCGGACTGTTGAGTTAAGAGAATACTGTTCTCCAAGTTCATTGTTCCCAGTATGAAATCAACACATAGTATACATGCAAAAGACAAAGAACATTTTCTGATAAGAAGACAACCGTGTCAATTAAGGTAAGCTACGGATAAAAATAAAGACTCAAGTATCACAATAGCACAGAAGAGAGAGAGAGAGAGATCTTGTTCTCAAATTGAAACAAGGATACGATCAAAAATCATCATGCTGTACCAAAATCTTAAAGTACTACTTCAGTTGCCATTACATTGCAGTACTTCCAAAAGCATATGATTTTATACTTATTTGAATATAAAATGAGGACAATTAGTAATTGAGTGATGAGTGAATCATTATTTTGAGTGAAATTAATCGGTTAATCCAGTTCCAAAATGAATGGTCTGAATAGTTTGTGATTCAAACGATTTGTTCAGAAATTGGACCGATGTGGTTCTCAAACTCAAATAACTGACTCAATGAGCCGGTCGCAGAGGTTATCAGCTCACTGGAGAAGAAGATAATTAGTGAATAATGATGTAAATCTATGTCCTTTCACCACACAACGCTATCATATGACTATAGTTCATAAGTCAGGCTTCTTTTGTGATACGTTTATAGTGCTTTTGGTTCTGTTTGAAGCTTGAAAGCTTCCGTGCCTATTCAATGTAATTGCATGGGAAACAGTGACCAGCAATGTAATTCTCCTTTTGTATTCCCAAGGAGAAATATGGGTTTCATACCGCAAATAATAAGAGAGACAACACTGCTCTTTTAAGGAAAAAAAAAATTACAGGATGTGAAATATTTCAAATAAATGAAAACATCTTTGACGATCAATAAAGGACAGTGAAAATTTCCATTCCCTCCTTGGCTGGCTCAGTGTCTCTTTATGCTTTATCAGATTCTCAATTTAGGCAGAAATTAAGCTTTTTTTCCAGCTAAGGGTGTGCCAAAGGTGATAACAGCATCTTGTCTGCTGTTCTTGGAGCAAAAACAGGAAATGATTGGTTTATCTTGAGTGCCCAGCACAAAGCTGTACCACCTGAATCTTTAATCATATTACAACTATTGAGTAAATATAAACGTAATTGTATAAATGGACAATGGTGATCAGCAATGCATTTGAATCACCCAGACTGACCACAGTTTACCAGCCTCAAGATCCAGATCTAATCGAAACATTTTGTGTAGGTCAATTGAATGAAAAAGGCTAATCTAATAGTGTTGAAGACAGAGCGTAGGCCGGCTGAACAACCTGTTATCTACAGAACAATCAGTTCTGTGTGGCATTGCAAATTGCCATTGAATTCATTCGAAATAATCAGAGAAAAACACAGCCCCTAATCTTCTTGTGAATAGTCTGAAGTAAATGGGTTACAGTGCAAAGTAGCCGAGGTTTATGGTTACATATCTTAAATTTCCCAGTGAATTTACTTGAGTAAAAAAAAATCCTAGTCAAAGTCAACGTTGCCACTGATTGTAAATGAGAATGTAGCTCTACATAGAGCTTCATAGAGTGTTTTTGCCATGTTGCAGGATGTTCGTAGGTGGGTTTTAACATGTGAACAATCCAATAGACAACCCAGAATACACTTTTTGTAAAGCATTCTAGCCCTTAAAATTGTCCACATGTCGCTTGGGAGGGCAATAACAGCCTAATTAGAAAAAGAGGGACAGCTAAATCAATTTAGTCTCGGCAATATTACCAGTTACACAGAACACCTTGGGCAAGATCAAATGAAGTTATGCAAAGGTACGCAAGGACACAAGGAGCAACTGTACAAGCCAATAGGGTTTGCATGCAAATTCCCAAAGTTTTAATTAACTCTCAAAGCGTAACGGCTGGAGTCACCCTCATGAGTCACGCTTTACGTACAAAAAGACCAAACCTGAACACCTCCACTTAATTTGTCTTTTGCTGCATATATGCATGATAGCATAAGTGCATCTTGGCCTCCCCCACCTTCCTGCATCCAATTCATCACGATAAAGGAAAGGCAGCCAGTATGCAGTCAAATAGTGCGTGTAAACCAGCCCTTGATCTTAAAACTCATTCATCACGGCACCAACATTAAAACGCGTCCGCATATCCGGATCTCAAAACCCCAGTTTCTGCAAAGCCTTTTCTGTGCTAAAAGCAATCTCACAGGCTGGATGCTATACCCATGGGAAAGAAAAATCTAAATGAGATCCCTTTAATATCTGAATTGTTTTTCTTACGCAGCAGGGGAATGACATGGTGCACAAAGTCTCCCCAGCATCTCAGGTTTTAATCCTGAGGAAAAAGACTTCAGTAATCTCAATTCAATGTATACTGTATTAAAAGCAGCTTTTTGGGGTTAAAAAAATGATCAAAATAATTTTTTGAGCAAGTAAATAACCAGCCAGTGTTCAAAACTCTCTGCTTGCCTTCGCTCGATTCAAACGATAAGATTGTAATAATGTTTTTAACTCCAGTGGTACTGGTGGATCTCTGCGGGAGATTCGAGCATGTCTTTACGTCATTACTTCACATCTGTACACAAAAAGGAGGAGTCTCGGCTAGTGTATGGTACGTATATTGAGTGTGAGGATGTTGGAGGTGGAGATTTAAAGCCTTTTCTAACAGCACTTGATTTAATTAAACTTATCAATTTGATTGCGGATCCAGAAAAGTTCAAACGACAATCACCAGTGACAACGGAAGATTCACACGTTGTAAAATGCAAAAGACTGCGTTCGGACTTCGGAGTGGCTACTGAAAAAAAAAGAGACTGCAACCGGACCCATGCGAAAACAAGGATAATATCAGAAGGGCATTAAAGGGATAGTTCACCCAAAAATGAAAATTCTGTCAGTATTTACTCACCCTCATGTTGTTCCAACCCCGTAAGACCTTCGTTCATCTTCGAAACACGAATTAAGATATCGTTGATGAAATCTGAGAGCTGGATCACTCCCCCATAGTAGTCCATAGGCTTCTTGAGGGATTGAAACTTGCCGGCCTCGAAAAGTTATTAAAGACATCGTTAAAATAGTCCAAGTAACTACAGTGGCTCAATCTTAACTTTATCAAGCGATGATAACACTTTTTGTTCAGTTGAGAATGACTTTATTTCAACTATTAATTACCTTCTCTTTGGGCCTCTAGTCAGTTAAACGTCACACGTAGGCTCTTTTAGGCTCACCGCGTTATTTATGTTTGTTTGTTTGTTTTTTTTGTTTTTGCACAAAAAGTGTTCTCGTCGTTTGATAAACTTTATTTGAGCCACTGTAGTCACTTGGACTATTTTAACAATGTCTTTTATAACGTCAAGTTTCAATCCCTCAAGAAGCCTATGGACTAGTATGGAGGAGTGATCCAGCTCTCAGATTTAAACAAACTTGGATGTTACCTACTTTTTTCTGGTGAAAATGTTTATGTTGGTCATACTTCCAAAAAGTATAATATGTGATTCTGAATAACAGTATTCACACCGGCGGGGTGACTGACAGCCACATATTCTCCTCAAAAAATCGGATTCATCCGCGCTGTGCCATGCCGAAGCACAACCCACGTAAAGTTGATAACTGCAATTGCAGATATCGCACAGAGATGGCGACAAAGAGGTAAAACTACAAACTGCAGCTTTAAATAAAATATGTCTGCAATTAAATGTCAATCTCAAGCATTTCTCATCAAATCTCCCAAGTTGTGGTCTCTTTCATTGAGATCTCTTTTGAAACTCTACAGGAAACAGATGATCTCACGAGAAACATTAAAAATGTCATTGCTGCCTAAAAGAAATAAATGATGCAACATTGATCTTTTCTCGTATAGCATTATCTGTCAAGGAATCCTAAACTATGAAAAAGCAATATCTGAGCAACACAATTGTCCAATTTGTAGAAGGGTTTGATCTGTTATGTCAAGATTATGTACTCTCACATGCAATCACTTTCACTGCACACAATAAACTACCCATAACTTAAAGTACATACAGCATCAACAGAGCCCTGCAGAAAATACCACTGTAACGGTGGCCAACTTTTCAGCTCTAATCCCATCTGTGATTTGTTTCTGTGCGAGCAGGAAAAGCATAATCCCAAAACAGCAGTGCTAATCTCACACAAAGATAATCTGACACAAAATTGAACAGCTCTGAAGTAATCCCATCACATTCAAATAGGGAGCCCACGTGCAAGAGATTTCACATCTAAAGTTTTTTTTTACTATTATTCCTCCTATCAAACTTAATGATATCTCCATTACCCCGATTTTAATTTCCCCTGACAGCACAGGTCATAACCGAGAAACTGTCTCCCCCTTTTTTGACAATCAAGACCAAGACACAGATACGGCTACTTCCCGCATCCATCTCTCATTCACTGACATGTTTCTGTCTCTCTCTCCCTCCCAGTTATCTATTTTGACACCCTCTCCACTCTATTACCTGGGAAAGCTCTTAGGCATTTAATAAGGGACATTTGATGTGTCCAGATGTCTTTCAGTGCAACGCGAGACAGGTAGAGAGAACGAGAGGAGGGGGATTGAGGAATTAGGTCTGGGTCTTATCCTTACTAGCGCTGTAATATTGCACTGAGGTACTTAACATGATTATGACAGTAAGTAGTTGTTCTTAATGCTGTGCTATTATAATATTTCTTTACAGCTTGTTTAAGTGTGCCAGCGTGGGACAATGGTATTATAACTGAGTGACTGATACTGCATCATAACATGTCACTGACATGAGAGTTCAATTCTGGTTAATATTATGGCATTCATTTGTCTTCCACACTGCAGATACTGCGTTAAAAACTACATTTACAAAGAGTAAATCTTACACACTCTAAAAATTCTGGGTTGTTTTAACCCAATTTTGGGTAAAATATGGACAAACCCAGCCATTGGGTTACATTTTTAAAATTATATTTTTAACCCAATGGCTTGGTTTGTCCATATTTTACCCAAAATTGGGTTAAAACAACCCAGCATTTTTTCAAAAATAAAAAAAATAACTTGATGTTTGAAAATGTTTGAACTTAAATGATGGATACTAACTTATTAGATTATTTTTTCAATTGTTTAATAATTATTTATTAAATTACAATTATTCGTTATTATATATAATGGAATTAGGAAAATAACGCAATATTGTTTTGATTGCATGCTTTTCTGGACTGAGATCTGAGCTGGACAATGACATCACTATATTCTGCAGAACTGCTTTATAGATGAAATTAATAGGGCTGGCCAGCGATTAATCGCAATTAATCACATCCAAAATAAAAATTTGTGTTTACATAATATATATAAAAATATCATTTTGTGTGTGTGTGTATATATATATATATATACACACACACACACACACACACACACACTGCACGGACGTACGTTATACATTTATATATAAATATCAATATTTGATATATTAATAACACATTTTTCTTAAATATATACAAAAATTTTATATATTTATATATAAAAAATAATTATACACACTACACATACAATACATATATTATGTGAACACAAACTTTTATTTTGGAGGCGATTAATTGTTGCCCAGCCCTAGAAATTACTAATTTAATAATTGATATTCTTTACAATGGAACTGCATCAACACTGAACCGACTTTCTATTAGATCGGTATATACAGCCGAAATGAACTCATCCTTGAATCATTTTCCTGTTGTCACTGTACTGTATAAAGCGCCATATGAGTAAAGGTGACTTGATTTGCCTTGACTTTTAAGCGCAGTCAGTTGCTTACAGTATTGAGTACCCATAAAAACACTATAAAATGTAACTATTTAAAAATCACATTACTGTAACAAAAATATTTGCAACAATTAGCTTAGATTAAACTAAAATTTAGCTGATTGTTAAAAAAAAAATCCTGTATCCTCACAGGATGATTTTCAATATTAAAGCAATGAGAAAACGTTTTACTTATTCATTTTGTACGCATTATGGTGTAATGAGAATTGGGTTGGGGTGCTTAATTGCTATGGTGCAATCAATTTTATACGCTTCATTTTCTTCACGCAACATACACTGTAAAAAATGATTTTTTGGTTATGTAAATACTAGTGAAAAAACCCAATGTAATTTACTTGAAAAAGTTAGTTCAGGCAAGAATTTAAAAAACTAAGTAAATTCCATATCAGTACTTATTTCAAGCGAGTATACTGTAAATGAAAGTGTAATATCAACTCAATAAAATTAAGTAAAAATTACTCAACTTTTCTGATACTGGGGTTCCCATCATGCAATGGACCTTGAATAATTAATGAGGTTCATTTGTCACTGGTTTCCAGCTGTATTTACACTGTTTTATCATTGATTTTTGTTTTCAGTATTATTAAATTGCCATTTTGTGACATTTCGAGTAAATTTTTTGCTTAAAACGACACATTCAAACACAAAAACGATCCATCAAATGTTACCACCATTGTGTATTGTCTACCAAGTATCGAGGTGTTTGCATTCACATAAGGCTTAAAGTCTGACATGATGTATATATAAATTACTTAGATGATCTAAATAAAGAACATACTATAAATGACTAATAAAATTCAAGATAATTGTTTTAGTGAAGTGTAATACAAAGGCAAAGGAAATCGGTATTAATCAACCTTTTAACAAGCCGAGTTAAAATTACTTATTTTTTGTAAAGTTTACTTAATTCCACATTCCAAGTAAATTTAACTTAAAGATTTCTAATTAAAGCTACTGATAAATATGTTTAGGTTTTTACTTGGCAAATCTTTGTAAATTTACTAGCATTTTCTGAGTGAGATCGTTTAGCAAGGTTTTTTTAAGTAAATCCTACTCCAAATTTTTTACAGTGTATCTCTCTTTACCGTTTGTCTTTTTTCAGGATGACACAGGCATATTGTAATAGTCTGTGAGACCCATGTTTGGGGTGTCCCGAGCCCTGCATTCAGCGAGAGAGTGAAACACAAGCCACACCAACTTGCAAAACCAAATATGTATTCACCCCTTTACAGACAAGTGTCATGTTAATCATTTATAATGCACTGTATAGGTTACATTTACACTTAGCTGCCGCTTTTATCCAAAGCGACTTTATATGTCAGAGGTCGCACTCCTCTAGAGCAACTAGGGGTTAAGTGTCTTGCTCAGGGACACATTGGTGTCTCACAGTGGATTCGAACCTGGGTCTCTCACACTTATCCACTGCGCCATCACCACCCCCCATAGGTTACAATGAGAACTAGTCCTTTCATTGTGAAGCTCATCCAAACATTTCACTAAATGTGTTTAATTATGTAATTAAGCTTTACTCGTAATAAATGTCAGCAGAATAAGGCTGAGCTGAGCGAGTTGAGCGAACAGCACACCTGTGAGGCGCAGAAGTGAACACCCACCTACATCATCTGCACAGTAAACAGCCATAAAGACACTACGACATCAAGCCATTATGATGACAATACTCATATTCTGAATACGAGCATCACATTTGTTCAGCCTATTCACTCTTACACACTTCCTTTTTTTTTGCTTTTAGCATCGTTTCACTTCATTAAGCCGTATTGAATGAATGACTCTTCCATGCAGGGCGATGACTGGAAAAGGAAGGGGGCGGGGTATTATTTATGATCTGATTATGATTATTTATGATGGGGACAACCATCTGTGCTCTCAATAATTACAGAATGATTTTAAAGGCATCTAATGGGAGGATATTCTTCCTATCCTGAAATCTCAACAGAAAGATAAGGGGCCAGCAACAGTTAAGAGACCACAATAAGGCATATACTCTCAAAGCAACATGAATGACTGCATAAAACCAAACAGTAAATCACTGCTTTCCACTATGACTCTGAAGCATCAATCAAAATCTAGAGGTTTTTTTTTTCCTTCTCTCTTTCTCCTGAAGGATGTACATCACACTGCAGATTTTACCTGTTCTTTACTAAATAAGTGTAGTTATTTGTATCCCATATAGTGAATTATTAAAATAAATGAGAAGTCTGATACACAAGAACACATATGGCAGCACATTGAATTATCCATGAGAATATACATATGGGCTTCAGAGAATCCAGTCAGGACGAAAAAAAAATAAAAATAAAAATAAATAAATAAACATCTTATAGAGAGACAGCCTGTTGATCATACAAGCACTACACCCGCGTAAAATGTAATATGTTGCAATAAATGCTGGTCAATGTCTTCACAGGTATGTATGATGAAAGTTGCGTGCTATCAAGGACACACTCAAACATGCTTCATGATTTGCCTTAAACACATGCACACTCTTAAACCCACAGCAAAGCTATTTTCAGAAACGATCTTGTGATGTGAACCGCGGGTTTCTTTTATATAGCCTACACCTCACATCGTCACAGTACAGTCAACTGCATCCAAAAAGCCAACAGATCACATAAAACCAACCTAATGTGTGGATTTATTTAGAGTCATGCAAATCAACGGAAACATACCCATCTCTGCGTAAATGTCGCGGTTTTTTGCAGGTTTCACAGCCCTTCGATGTGCGATTCCAGGCTCCGCATGGCACCGTCTTCAAACACACTCTGAAAGAAGCACCTGCCCAAAGCTGCGGTGCCCGAGATGTTGGCGAGGTTCGGAAAACTCCAGCAACAGCAGCGTTATTTCAATCCCGCAGTTGCGCCGCTGCGCAACATGTCCAAGTGAACAACGGAGAAATCCTAAGAGCTCTTCCCAGCGTAAGGGACAAACATTGAGGTTTACTTATACGAGAACGTCCAAAAAGATCATTCCCAGCGCGTGCGTGTGCGTATCAGCGATATCCTTCACGTTACAATATCCTCCACTTGATTGGAAAGTTTGGAGAGATTTGCGCAAAAGCGCACCATCGGATGTTCGGTAAGGTGCACAGCTAGGAAGAAAACCTAGCGAGGGATGCAAACATATTTCTTATGTCCTGTAAAAAAAAAAAAAAAGCGAAAAGAAGAAGCTGTGCGCAGGATGAGTGACGTATTCCTGATGTCTGCTGATCTTACGCGAGCTCAGAGATGGTGCTGTACGCCACATTCAGTTCGCCAATCTTTCTCCGAACATCTGTCAAAAACAGAAGCAGCTTTTTAAGAGGAGTGTGTGAGTGTGATTGCTCTCAACACTGGTGCAGTCATTGCTTAACCTTCTTTTGCAAGTGTTATGCATCGGATTGCCCTCTTCTGGTGGGAAAAGGAGACATGCGTCGCCCATTCAGAGCATTTTCCGCAAGAAAAAAAAGTGAGGCTAAGTATTCTTGAGCGCGTCTTTGACATCACGATATATTTAGCTTGGCTGGTGTGGTTTATACACATTACATTATACTTGCATACTTAATGTTGTATATCATGTAAAACGGTGATAAAGCAGTTCTGACATTATATTGGAACATTATATATTTTGGATAGAATTTGCACAAATAATAATAATAAAAAAACATCCATTTGAATTGATAACAAAAAAAGGTGAAAAGTTCCTTAAAACAAGTTTGTTAGATTTCAAATTAGATGTAACGTTCAGAATAAAGAGAAGTGGATCATGTCTTTAGTTATAGGTGATGAATGTCAACATATAATCAAATGATTATGCTGACGCCACTTGCTTTGATATTTCATTACCCACGGCAAATTACAGTCCTCCATTTTTAAGATTGATTTACTTGTCCATTTTTATTTGTATTGTTTTGTGGTCACTGTAGAGCATGAACAAGGGTGCATCCATCTGGAAGGACAAAAACTATTGCCAAGCAACACTGAGACTTTTATCCATTGTGACATCAGCAATTGCAAACGAGAGCAAGAGGTCTGTTTTCAAAACAACTGCCCATCTGTAATATATCTGAAAATCATTTGATATGAAACAATTGAAGCAAATAACCAAAAAAAAAAAAAAAAAAAAAAAAAATCATCTATCAACCAGTGATAGACATTTGGTTAAAAGGCTCACATATACACAGCACAATCGCACACATCACAAAACAACTTAATCCAAAGAAAGATACCTCACAAATATGTAAATAAATAGGTTTAAATAGCCTACAATATACTAATAAAACTCAGTGTCTTATTTAAAAATAGAAATTGCAGTAGGAATAATAGAGTTTCCTCGTAAAGCGGCAGCCTGATGGCAGTAACTGAAGCGAGCGGGACAGAGGATGAGAGGAGTCAGTATTGATGGAGACTGCTTTCCTCGTTACTGCACACTTACAGACATCTAAAAGTTGAATCAGTGGGGCCTCAATGAAGTTAGATGCCTGTTTAATTACTCTGGATTTTTTTTTCTTGTTTACAGCAGAAGGAAAATTAAACCAGAATGCAATAATAAAGGTCATAACTGAGTCAACAAGAGGATGATACACCTGCTGTCAAGATATTCTGTCTTACATTAAAACGCTTCAACCTTCTCAAAAGAAATAAGCATTGTTTAGCCTTCTTGCACTCTAAAAAATGCTGGGTTGTTTTAACCCAACTTTGGGTCAAATATGGACTAACCCAGCCATTGGGTTAAATTTTTACATTACATTTTTAACCCAACATTTCGGGTTTGTCCATATTTGACCCAAAATTGGGTTTAAACAACCCAGCATTTTTTAGAGTGTGTAGATGGTATTCACATGCTGAGTAAAGGATGCCTATCAATGCCCAAATATGTGAAGGTCTCAACTTGTTCCACTACCTTGCCGCCCACACTCTAAAAAATGCTGGGTTGTTTTAACCCAATTTTGGGTCAAATATGGACAAACCCTAAATGTTGGGTTAAAAATGTAATGTAAAAAATAACCCAACGGCTGGGTTAGTCCATATTTGACCCAAAGTTGGGTTAAAATAACCCAGCATTTTTTAGAGTGCACCCACCCAACCCCTTCGTCTTACTATTAAACTCAAGAAAACTTTCACTCAAAAAAAAATATTGGGTTGTTTTAAGCAAATTTTGGGTCAAATATGGACAAACCCAGCCATTGGGTTACATTTTTTAATAACATTTTTTAACCCAATGTTTCCATATTTGACCCAAAATTGGGTTAAAACAACCCAACATTTCCTTTGGACCATAAATTAACATATTGTCTATATGGGGTTGCTCATCTGTTATGCACCCCACCAAAGCCATGTCATCAGCATATTTCAAAAGTGACTAAAGGAGTAGTTAAAAAAAAAAAAAAAACCTTTTGCTGATAATTTTCTCACCCCCATGTCATCCAAGATGTCCATGTCTTTCTTTCTTCAGTCGAAAAGAAATTAAGGTTTTTGATGAAAACATTCCAGGATTTTCTCCATATAATGGACTTCATTGGGAACCAAACGGTTCAAGGTCCAAATGAGAGTTTCAGTGCAGCTTCAAAGGGCTTTAAACGACACCAGACGATGAATAAGGGTCTTATCGAGCGAAACGATCGCTCGTTTAAAAAATAAATAAAAAAGTTTAAGTTTCATAAGCACAAATGCTCGCCTTGCTCTCTTCTGTGATGAGTGTTCGTGACTCTCCTGTCCAAACTCGTTCATCAAAATGAACAAATCTTTTTTTGAGTCATGACTCAAAGGGTCATCGTCTGGTGTCGTAGCCCTGAGGAACCCCCGTATTTACAATGGTATGCATTCTGACATGTTGGGGTCTATCTTTTTAAAAGTCATTAATCCATAGAACAAGAGTTGAGTTAACTTGTAAGTCTCTGCAGGCAATTCAGTAATAGACAAATGTTCACTATGTTGAAAGCAGATGTAAAATCCATAAATAAAATCCTAACAAATGAGTTCGGAAGGTCCAGGTGTCCAGTCACTGTATTCAAGAGAGTTACAGTAAGCTGGCATCCTCAACTTTCCGTTTTGGCGTATAGGACACTCGGCTCCATTGGTGGTAAGCTCTCCCGCCATGCACTTGCAAAGGATCGAGGTCTAACATTTGTCATCTCCTTGACATGTTTTTTTTTAGGAACAGGAATAATGGTCATCTCCGGTACATACGCTGTGTTCAGTGACAGAAGAGCTAAGTCACCATCCCACATACAGTAGTTGGGCCGAGCTCTCTTTCAACATGTGGCCACTCAAGTCCATCTGAACCAGGAGCTTTCATTGGCTGTAATTGGGAAAGGATGGAAACAACCCTTTGCTCATCCACACTGATTGGTGTTGATATCAATCTGTTCCCGGTCATTCCCGGGATTAGTCCAATTAAACCTGGCGTAGAAAGTGTTTAGCTTCTCTTCAAAGGTCTGGACTATATGAACTCGAGTTGAAGCTTTGGTTTTTCCCATCATCATACGATTCTGCCATGCTGCTTTTGTATTTCCTCCAATAAACCTCTCCTCCATCTTGTCTTCATAGCGAAGCTTAGCCAGCCTAGTTTTGACTCTCAGTTCTTTTTTCAGTTCATTAAATATACTTTTATCACCCTCCTTTTTTTAGGTTGGTCCAATGTTTTCTTACACTCTAAAAAATGCTGGGTTGTCGAAATATGGACAAACCCAAATGTTGGGTCAAAAATGCAATTTAAAAAAAAATTACAGTTGAAAATGAAAGTTGAAGTTGGGTTAAAATGTGAAATTATGTTTTTAACCCAACATTTGGGTTCGTCCACATTGGGTTCAAACAACCCAGCATTGTTTAGAGTGTAATCAAATGCAAGCAAGCTAAGCATTGGAAAAAATCCTCTTTAAAGGATTAAGCGGTTTACATAAACACTTCATTTCAGTTTGTAAGCCATTTTAACAAACATCATACTCAAGCAGTTCAAGATAATATGACCTCCTAATGTCATTCTGCGTCAGGGTCAACACAATAATTTCCAAAGTGGCTGTTTGTGTCCTCCCCGTACGGTCCATCTAATTAGAGATAATGGACACTCGAGCTCATATCTGTAATATTCTGCATTTGGCTCCAGAAAATACAGCTGGGAAGCACCAATCTTGCCAAATCCCCTTCTCAGCAACAGGCTGGATTGTGAGGGACTCTGTCCATCGCTTTTGAAGATACAGATGATCAAGGACAATAAGGCAACAGCCGGTTCAGGCCTCTGTGGAATAGACTGTTTGTGTTGTACGTGTGTTGTTTGTGTCGTTCAGACTCACAGAAGGCCGATCTCTGTTGTGATGATGAGCTCTGGACACACACTGCAGTGATGCATGGAAAACAAATTGCCAATCTTCATGGGTGGTGAGCACAATAAGAAGGGTTTGAGCAAACAAGAAGGGGATTTACAGCATTCAGAGATACATTAGACTAAATAATCCAACCCGATCGCACGGAAATTCGTACGAATTTTACGAGGTGGCTAATTCGTAACAATTTGTATGACCTCACTCGTATGAATTAGTACGATTTAGCTAAATCGTACATATTTTACGAATTAGCCAATTCGTATGAATTCGTACGAATGACCTACCCCTGACCCCGCCCCTAAACATAACCGTCACGTGGGTTTAGACAAATCGTACAAATTTGTACGAGTGAGGTCGTATGAATTAGTACGAATTAGCCACTTTTGAATCACTCGTACGAATTCGTACGAATTGGTCGTGAGATAGGGTAGAATAATCTCAATAAATAAAATTACAAACTAAAAATAAGAAGTACTTAAATTGCATATCTTTCCTGATGGCAATGCCAAGGTCATGGGTCAGATTCATAAATTGCTCAAAGGGAATGCATAAATTGTAAAAAAAAAAAAAAAAAAAAAAAGTGTAGCTTGAATGCAATAGAAGTATATTTGGATACAAACGCATGCCAAATCATGTTCAAATTCTGTCTTGTAAAAAGCCATACAATATATTCTTCATGTTTGAATGCAATAGTTTGACTATAAAAGTGTTACAGCTTACAATATATTTTTTTGCCAAAATGCACAAATTTAAACCTCTGATAAGATATATATTCTCTTATATATATATATATATATAAAAGTTTAAATTTGTGCATTTTGGCAAAAATATATTGTTAGCTGTAACATTTTTAGTCAAACTATTACATTCAAACATGAATAATATATTGTATGGCTTTTTACAAGACAGAATTTGAACATGATAAAAGTGTAGATTATTTACAGAACTATAATGTGAATTATAATGAAGCTGCCATATACTAATCTGTCTGTTTCCCAGAGTGATATATGTATTTGAATAGATATAC